GACACACGCACACTCCTGCCCACCCTCACATACACACACCCACACCCTTTATTTGACGAGATGTGTTTGAGCGATATCGACAAACGGAACAAATGCAATTGTTTTTCACCTCAATATCATAATCTGATTGATAAAATACACAATCAGAAGATGAAGATCTTCCACGAACAATGGCAGCATTCTCGCATGCTCTACATTTGAAATTCATCTTTGTTGACTGTCGTGTATGTCGTACATCAACCGCATTCTTAACTAGAATTTATATATGTAATGCCGTCTTGTACAAACATTGAGACAACATTAATTAGAAAAAAAATAATACCTGCAGTTTCTTTTTCTTCCATTCTTTGAATGCATTTCTCATTTATGTTTACCTTTACTTAAACTCAACAGAGAACATAGATTTTTTCCTCCAGAAAGAATAATAACATCTATTCTTATTAGTTAAGTATCAAAATTTTAACAAATAAAATTTATTTATGAAATAAGGGTAAATCGGCATTATAGGCAAGTGTGATTGATATGTAAATATGCTGCTCTCACCCGTATCCCATCTGTTTATAAAGGATTTTATATAGTACTTGTGCACAGTAAATAAATATGACACATCTTATTGCAACATGTGGACTCGCTTTCGAAACAAATTTCATATCTTGGCTGGTTGATAAGAGTTTCAAACATTATAAATAACAGTCTTCAGATGCTTTTTTTTATATATTTCTGTTTTGACGAAGAATACAAAGATGAGTGATAATGGTAAGAATCTACTTAGTTCTTTTTTTGATTGTAATAGCTGACTTTGTCTAAATAAATCTCATAAAAAAATATAAACATATGACTCAATTCATTTATTTATTTATGTTTTCTCTTAAGCCGATGCCAATCAAGATGCTGCTCCATTAGAGGAAATTAAGTGTAGCGATTGTTGTCGTGTCTTGTTAAAGAGACTGAGCAACTTTGTTGTCATTCGATTACTTGCAGCTATATTCACATTCCAAGCAGGCATTATGTGGCTAGGATTTGTAGCCAATGATGTTCTTCAATTACTTTTCCTTCCTTTCGAGACGTCACGATTGAGCTCGTTTGTTGGCTCCTGTTTTATGATTTCTGGCATTGTCTTATTGTGAGTTTTTATAATTTCTAATATATCTTCAGTCTCTGATTTTTATTTAGTTCAACTCACTACTTTTGGTTTACTATTCAGTTGGCTGCTTATTTTTTTTCTTCGGAAAAAAAAATCGAAGAAAAGCATTTGTCTCAATCCAACTCATCCTCATTACTGTTGTTCATTCCCTCTACAACTCGTCCAGAAATTCGACAATGTTTTCGCTTAGCTATTTTTTTATGCTATATTCTCTATGGTATTGTTTACTGGAAACAAGATCACAGTGTTTTCAATGCAATTATCGCACCTACCGGACAGGTTAATCTAGTTACTTGAACTTTTCATTTATATATTATCTTATTATTAGGTTCCATTGGCACTAATGTGGTTTCTTCATATTCTTCACATAATTGCGAACTACTGGTTCGTCATCTCCGAATGCAATACATGCCGTAAGAATTCTTCGAAAGCAAAGTCCAAGAATAATATACATACAGAAAATAATAGCGCTCCAATTAACAAAATAAATAAAGCCTCCAGTTGGAAAGAAATTTCTTTTGCCATAATCTTCGGAGTAAGTATATTGATATACATTGCTTTGACGAATGGTATACAGAAATTAAAGCTTTCTCTTATAATATGAAAAAAAAAAGAGTTCGAGAACAAGTCACTTTGTCTTAAATGTATCTTGTATAGGCTGTTATTCCATTACTATGTCAACTTATAGCAATATTACTACCATTTGGAAGCATGATTTGGGCAATCATGTGGTGCATCTGTATTTCATGTTTTATTAGTCGATTCTGGCTATATTCCTTGTACGAGTGGTTCATAGATACCAAAAATAAAAGACCCAAGAATAATCGATCTAAAAAATCTTTATTTCTTCTTACTACAAAACAATTATTTACTGCAGAAATTGGTGGATTGGAAGAATTTGTTGCATTAAGAGCTTCTTTAGTATTTTTTCTAATGGCTTTGGCTGCATCTTTAACGTACATTCAACAACAGAAAGACCAATCGTCTTCAAAACTGAAGGGATTCATCATATTTATAATCATCGTCATTTGTTCGTATCATTCATAAAAGATTTTCGTTTGATTTTTTATTTATTTCAGGGATGATTGAACTTTTTCTACTCTTACCCTCTTCTGTACAATCTAAAAAAGAGCTACAACGTGTCAAAACTCTTCAGGTTATCGTAATTAATATGTGAGTAAAACGAGGCAAATCAAATGTAGAGATATGAACAAAAATGTTTTTAGACTAAATTTGATCAATAGTGTAATAGTCTTCATCGCTTTAATCATAGTTCTTATCGATTATCGACCAACATTCCTTTTGGTTGTAGTACGTCTGCTACCAATATTGTTCTATTACTCTGCAACATTCATTTATTATTTTCGACATATATGTTACGACTGTCGTTCTACTGATATAGACAATAGTGGTGTGACAAAATGGATTACTATGCATTTCAAAATCAGTCTCTACCCGCGAATTTTCTTCAGTGAGTCATGTTTCACATTCTAATTTCATTCCTGCTTTCTTCTATTAGTTATGTCATCTTTACTGATGCTAATAAGTTTCGGAGGACTGATTCTTGGTGCATCGATTTATTATGATACACAAACTGAGACGATTGTCAGCAGCAATACAACTCTGAATGGAAATTATTTAATCACTAATGATCAAGACAACAAGTTAGATTTGCTCTATTTTCGAAATAAAATAATAAGAGATAATATTTTATATAGTACTCAAATGGAAATCTGCAATTGGCAAATTGCTAATCTCAATATTCAAGATATGGTTCTTTTTGCTACGCTAGCCTATAAGTATGCGTTTATATTTTCATCTCATTCTCAAAACTTTTCTTGTATAGACCAATAGATAATGTTAAACAAGAGTTAAATGCTTTTTATAACAACACAAATCTTAATTTTACATTAGTCGAATCTTTAAGTCAATACTATGCAATCGGTTATGGAAATGTTACCTATTACACGGTCACTACAAATAATGTCGTTATCGTTGCTATTCGAGGGACTGCTCTAAATTATGAGGCTTTTGTCAACGGTGATATATGGATAGAATCAGCGGTCTATCAGGTAACAAAAATATTCTTTCAATAAAATAGATTTATATGTAACAGTTTTACAGCTAATATCATTATTATTTCCATGGTCTAAACTCTTTCCTGATTACATAAGTTCACGTATAATTCGACATATGTCAATCATTGATAGGCTAGCTCAAGATGGAGAACAACATCGATTGTATGTACAGAAGGTAATCGATGTTCTAAAGAAAGTTGACCAAGTTTACGGGAAGACACATACATTCATTGTCGTTGGACATTCTCTAGGTGAGATTGAATTTAAAATTCAATTTTTCAGCGATTACTCATTAATGAGTTTTGAATAGGAGGTGGATTAGCTAAATTAGCTGGTATTGCCTTAAATACAACCGATGCTTTAGTTAGTATTAGTGGTCCGGGTATAACTTATACGCATGCTAAACTATATGAAACTAGCCATGTTGATATGCAATCAATCAATCGACGTACAGTTAATCTCTACAATGATCGAGATGTTGTTCCATGGATAGATAAACAAGAAGGTCTAATTCAATTAATGACATGTCCAAAAACATTTTCAAATCTACAATGTCATTCTATGCCACCTATCTTATGTAATGTTATCAAAATGTGTGGTAATACAAGACAATTTCGCGTCGACAAGAATATTTGTATGCCAAAATAGTTCTGTGTCAAGTATAAAAACAAAATTTTAAATTGATTTTTTATCTTTTGCACATAATAAAACAAGACTTATTAATTAATAATCTTAATTGGGAGAGTGAGAATATGTGAGTAAATATTTCGTGAATAAGTCATATCATAATACACAATTCTTATTGACTTACACTTGTACGAACAACACAAAGGACACCATAGAAAGAATTTTATTATTGATTAATTTATATCATATTGATATTTGTTAATGGCTAATAAATATATGTATTATTACAAGAGTACTGAAATATAACACTTCCTTACATTAAGTTAGACATGGATCAGACTTAAATTAATTTCCCATTATCAAATACAAAAATTGTAATATCATGAAAATTACCTAAATCAATCTGTTTGAAATCGTTTTCGTTCGTAAATAAATAATTACAAGCTAAAAATATTTATAGTTGAATTAGAAAAACAATTTTATTTTACTTCAAATATAAATACCCTTTCTCAATGTAAGTGGTGAGGGTGGGGTGTGGGTAATTGAAAGCTAAATCTGGGTGTGGGTGTGGGTTTAAATGTAAAGTATTTTCAATCATGTCCACATCCACCGAAACCCATCTAGACCAAGGGGGAAACAGCAGAATCCATGAATCCAAGGAACTGGATTCTGCTGTTTCCCCTTGTCTACCCTACAGATACCGCCCTGCTGTGAGAATATGCATGTGATTATTTCTTTCTCGTTCTCACTCAAAAATACGTTGTACACAGGGACAAAAAATGTTACTTGATAACATTCTTTCAAATATTTGACGAAGAAAAGAAAGAGAAACGAACATGATACCATCGCTAAAAGACTACTTTGCATATACCACAAATAAAAATTTCTCTCTTTATCCTGGCGTATGCAAAAAGCAAGACTTATTTTGACATCTCATCATTTCAAATCAACTAAATTATTAATATGAACGATCATAGAACATCTTCAATTGATTGCCGACGTTCGCGACGATATATAGCTCAAGATTATTTACTTATTTGGCTTCATAATGATACTAATGAAACAAATGAAGAGTATCAAAACACATTGAAACATCTAAGAAATCTAGTTGATACGATCGATATTTTTACCAATCCAGACGAATGTGTGAATTTTTTTACTGAATTCAATGATATGAAAACATTTCTGATAATAAATGATACGATTAGTGAAGAAATCATTCCTCTTATTCATGATTTACCTCAACTTGATCAAATTTATATATTTTCTCGTACTACTTTATTGTCTTCTGAATGGATAGGAAAATGGACAAAGATAAAAGGTATTTCTGCGGAAATGACATCTTTATGTGCTACATTAAAACTGATGATTAGACAACACAATCAAGATTCGATTGCTACTAGTGTTATTTCACTCAGCGAGATTAATCCAAACAAAAACCTAAATGAATTAGAATCTACATTTATGTATTCACAGATTTTCAAGGATATTCTCTTAAAGATGAATTATAATGATAATTCCATCGATGAATTCGTTCAATTCTGCCGAAAGAATAAGTTTGGATCACCAACAAATATTGATTTATTCGAAAAAGAGTATCATAATCGATCATCCATTTGGTGGTATACATGGCCAGGTTTTATCTATCCAATGCTCAATTCTAGTCTTCGTACTTTAGAAAGTGATGTGATTATTAAGATGGGCTTCTTTATTTATGATTTACATAAGCAAATTGAACAATTATATAATGAACAACGTGACAGTTATCATGAAGAATCATTGAAGGTTTATCGTGGACAAGGATTATCTAAAGAACATTTTGAAAAAGTTATCAAAGCAAAAAATGGTTTAATCTCTTTTAACAATTTCTTGTCAACTAGTAAAGTAGAAGAAGTTTCGGTGGGATTTGCAGTCATTGCTTCTACAATTGCTGATACAGTTGGAGTACTCTTTGTGATCTCTATCGATCCTTCTGTTTCATCAGCACCATTCGCATGTATTCAAAAACATAGTTATTTCGAATCTGAAGAAGAAATTCTCTTTTCTATGCATACCGTATTTCGTATTAGAGATGTGAAACGAATTAATAATAATGATGAACTCTATCGAATCGAACTTCAACTAACTGCTGAT